AAAAAATGGTGTGCTATAGCACACGAAAATCGTCGAAATGAAGGGTATGCTCGCTTCGGGGCTCGTTTGACCTTCCAAATGCACATGAAAATCGGTAAAATGAGGTTTACCTACTTTTGGTCTTATTTAAACTTGAAAATGGGCACATTTGATCATGTTGACCAACTAGCTCGATAAATAAGGTCTTAACAGACGTCCATTTATAATTTAGACTGAATAAATCCAAAAAATTTTATCTCCATAAAATCATGAACTATATCACAAGAAAAACAACAAAATGGGGGTTTACCTTTTTGGGACTTGTTTGAACTTGAAAATGGGCGCGTTTTCTTGTTGAGAACAAGTAGCTCCATATCTAAGGTCTTAACAGACGTCCATGAAAAAATTTGGCCAAGAAAAATCCAAAATTATGGATCACCAAAAATTAATGGACTATAACAAATAAAAATCGCAAATTGAGGGTTTACCTACTTTGGGGCTCGTTTGGATTTCAAAGTGGATCTGTTTGCCCGTCGGGACCAAGGGTCTCTATTACTATGGTCTTCACGAACGTCCATGAGCTAAAAACACGTTGAAATACTGGATAACCAAAATTCATGGACTATAGCACACGAAAATCAGTAAAATAGGATTTACCTGCTTTGGGACTCGTTTGAAGTTGAAAATAGACCCGTTTGACCCCCAAGACCAAATTTCTCCACTACTAAGGTCTTAAAGGACGTCTATAAAAAAATTTGATAAAAAAATCTGAATCTCTAATCACCAAAAGTTCAAAGACTATACCACACAAAAATCGACAAAATGGAGGTTTACCTTCTTTGGAGCTTGTTTGAACTAAAAAATGGGACCGTTTTTCTGTGGAAACAAGCTGGCTCCATTGCCTAGGTTTTATTAGATGTCCACAAAAACTTTTGGCCAATAAAAATTGAAATATCGAATCACCAAAAAATTCATGGACATAGCACACAAAAATTTACAATATGGGGTTTTACCTACTTTAGAACACGTTTGAACTTGAAATGAGTTTGTTTTCCCGTCATAACTAATTGTCTTCATTATTAAGGTCTCAACAAATGCCCATGAAAAATTTCGGCCGAAACATGTCAGAATTTTGAATTACCAAAAATTCATGAACTATAATAACACACGGAAAATAGATAAAATGAGGGTTTACCTGCTTTGGGGCTTGTTTGAACTTGAAAATGGGTCCATCTGCCTGTGAGGACAAACTAACTCAATTGCTAAGGTATTAATGAACGTCCATAGAGAATGTTGGCAAAAAAATCTAAAATTCGGGATCATCGAAAATAATTGACTATATAACGTGAAAATCAATAACATGGGGGAGTTTACCTGCTTTGAGGTTTGTTTGGACATAAAAATGAGCATGTTTACCTATCGAGACCAACTGACTCCACTACTATGGTCTTAACATACATTCATGAAAATTTTTGGCAAAGAGATTCAAAATTTTGGATGACAAAAAATTCATGGAATATAACACAGGAAAATCGATAAATTAAGTGTTTACTTGCTTTGGGGCTCGTTTGAACATTAAAAAGGTCTAAGGTATTAACGAACGTCAATGAAAATTTTTGACAAAAAAAATCTTTAATTCTGGATCGCCAAAAATCCATGAACTATAGCACACGAAACTTGGCAAAATGGGGGTTTACCTGCTTTGGGCTCGATTGAACTTGAAAATGGGTCATCAAGTGCAATTGACTCCTTTACTAAGGTCTTAACAGGCGTCTATGAAAAATTTTGACAAAAAAAATCTGTAATTTTGAATCACCAAAAATTCATAGATTACAGAACATGAAAATCGGCAAAATGGGGGTTTACTTACTTTGGGCTTCATTTGAATTCTAAAATGTGACCATTTGCACATCGAGACCAACTAACTCCATTACTATGGTCTTAACGAGTGTACATGAAAAATTTCAACAAAAAACACATCAAAATTTTGAATCACCAAAAATTCATGTAGTATAGCACATGAAATCGATTTAATGGGGGTATACCTTCTTTGGGGATCGTTTGAACTTTCAAACACAGTTTTTTCCTGTCGGGACTAACTAGCTCCATTACTAAGTCTTAACGGACGTCCATGGAAAATTTTTACGAAAAATAAAGCCAGAATTTTGGCTCACCAAAAATTCCATGGACAATAACACGTGAAAATTGACAAATGGGGGTTTACTTTCTTTGGGCTTGTTTATGGGACCGTTTTCTGGTAGGGACCAATTGACTCCATTGCTAAGGTCTTAACGGACGTTCATCAAAATGTTTTTCCAAAAATTTCAAAATTTTGGATCACCATAAATTTATGGACTATAGCACATGAAAATCGACGGTAAAATAGGAATTTACCTACTTTATGGCCCGTTTAAACTTTAGAATGGATCAGTTTGCCCGTCGGAACCAACTGAATCCATTACTGAAGTCATAACGGATGTCCATAAAAAATTTTAGCAAAAAACTCGCCAGAGTTTTGGTTCACCAAAAAATCATGGATAAAATAGCACATGAAAATTGGCAAATGGGGGTTTACCTTCTTTGAGGCATGTTTGAACATAAAAATGGGCTCGTTTGCATGTGGGGACCAAGTGGCTCCATCGTTAAGGTCTTAACAGACGTTCATGAATATTTTTTGTCAAAAAAATCTTGAATTATGGATTACAAAAATTCATGGACTATATCATTCGAAAATAGGCAAAACAGAGGATTACTTGCTTTGAGATCATTTCAACTTAAAAATGGTCTCTTTTGCCACAAGGAACAAACTAGATCCATTATTAAAGTCTTAACAGACGTTCATGAAAAATTTCGGCAAAGTCAAATTTGAAATTCTGGATCATAAAAAATTCATGGACAATAGCACATGAAAATCAGCAAAAGATGATTTTACCTAATTTGGGACTCGTTTGAACTTGAAAATGAATTTGTTTGCCTGTAGAGACCAACTCGCTCAATTACTACGGTCTTAACGGACGCCCAAGAAAATTTTTGGTAAAAAAATACATCAGAATTTTGAATCACCAAAAAATCATGGAGTATAGCACACGAAAATTGGTAAAATGGAGGTTTACCTGCTTTGGGGCTCGTTTACCTATTGGGACCAACTGACTCTATTACTAAGGTCTTAATGGACATCCATAAAATATTTTGAAAGAATAAATTTGAAATTTTAGATCACAAAAAATTTATGGACTATAGCATACAAAAATCAATAAAATGGGGTTTATCTGCTTTGTGGCTCATTTGTACTTGAAAATGTGCATGTATGTCCATAGGGACCAATTGGCTTCATTAGTAAGGTCTTAAAAAATGTCCATGAAAATTTCTGCAAAAAAATGCAAAATGGATCATCAAATATTCATGGCCTATAGCACACAAAAATCATTAAAATGGGAGTTTACCTGATTTAAAGCTCGTTTAAACTTGAAAATGAGTCTGTTTTTCCATCGGAACTTACTGGCTTGATTACAAAGGTCTTAATTAACGTCCATGAAAAAATTCGGCAAAAGAAATCTGGAATTCCGAATGACCAAAATTTCATAGACTATACCACATGAAAATTGGCAAATAGAGGCTTACCTTCTTTGTGGCTGGCTTGAACTTGAAAATAGGATTTTTTAGTCTTGGGTAACAACAGACTCCATTACCAAGATCTTAAAAGAAATCCATAAAAAAATTTAGCAAAAATAATCTAGATTTCAGAGTAATTAAATTTCATGGACGCACACGAAATTGATAAAATGGGTGTTTATCTGCTTTGCAATTCATTTGAACTTGAAAATTAAACTTTTGCCCGTCGGAATCAACTGCTCTGTTATAAAGATCATAACGGATGTCCGTGAAAAAATTCGACCAAAAACATGTCAGAATTTTAAATCACAAAAAATTCAGGAATAGCACACAAAATCGACAAAATATATGTTTACCTGCTTTAGGGCTCGTTCGAACTTGAAAATCAGCCCGATTTACTGTCGCGGCCAACTCGTTTCATTACTTGGGTCTTAATGAACATCTGTGAAATTATTTTACAAAAACAAATTTGTAATTTTGGATCACGAAAAATTCATGGACTGTAGCACAAGACGATTTGTAAAATAGGGATAACCTTCTTTAAAGCTCGTTTGAAGTGTAAACAGGACCGTTTTTTCATGCAGGCAAACTAATTTCATTATTAAGGTCTTAACAGACGTCGATAAAAAATTTCAGCCAAAAAAAGTTTAGATATCATATCACTAAAAATCCAGAGACTATATCATATGAAATTCGGCATAATTGGGGTTTATCTGCTTTAATGTTTGTTTGAACATGAAGATAAACTCGTTTTCCGTTGCGACCAGCTGGTTCTATTACTAAGGTCTTAACAGATTTCAATGAAAAATTTCAACAAAAAAATCTAAAATTTTGCATCACCAAAAATTCATGTATTATATAACATATGAAAATCGACAAAATGGGGGTTTACCTACTTTGAGGCTCGTTTGAAGTTGAGGATGAGTCTGTTTGCTCGTTAAAACCAACTGGATCAATTGCTAAGGTTTTAACGGACGTGCATGAAAAGTTTTCGCAAAAAAGAATCTGAAATTCTGGATCACCAAAATATCATGGACTATAGCACATGAAAATTGACAAAATAGGGGTTTACTTGCTTTGGGCTCTTTTGAACTTGAAAATGGGCATGTTTGGACGTGGGTACCAACATGCTCCATTTCTAATGTCTTAGCGGATGTCCATGAGAAACTTCAACAAAAAAAATGAAATTTTACATCACCAAAAAATCATGGATTATAGCACACAAAAAATAGGCAAAATGAGAGTTTACTTACTTTGGGGCTCATTTGAACTTGAAAATTGCTATTTTTTCCATTCATAACCAACATGCTCCATTAATAAGGTACTAATGGATGTCCATGAAAAATTTTGGCAAAAAAAATCAGAATTTCAGATCACAAAATATTCATGGACTAGCACACGAATGACTATAGCACATGAAAATTGACAAAATGGGGGTTTACCTGCTTTGGGACTCTTTTGAACTTGAAAATTGATCTCTTTGACTGTCTGGACCAACTAGCTCCAATACTAAGGTCTAAACGGACGTCCATGAGATTTTTTTAGAAAAAAATCCTTGAATTATGGATCTCCAAAAATTCATGGACTATAGCATATGAAAATTGACAAAATGAGGGTTTACTTACTTTGAAGCTCATTTGAACTTGAAAAATGGGCTCGTTGTCGTGTGAACAAACTGACTCCTCTGCTAAGGTCTTAACAAACGTCCCTGAAAATTTTTGGCCAAACAAAATTTGAAATTTGGGATCACAAATAATACATGAACTATAACCTACGAGAATGGACAATATGAGAATTTACTTGTTTTAGGGCTTGTTTGAACTTGAAATGGACTCATTTGCTCGTTGGGACCAACTAAGTTCATTACTAAGGTCTTAAAGGTCATCCATGAAAAATTTCGATAAAAAATACATTAAAATTTGGATCACCAAAAATTTATAGACTATAGGATATGAAAATCGACAAAATGGAGGTTTACCTTCTATCGGGATCTTCTAACTTAAAATTGAGCTCGTTTGCTCGTCGAAATCAACTGGCTCCATTACTATGGTCTTAACAGATGTCAATGAAAAAAATTTGAATTTTTTTTTAGAATTTCAAATCTCCAAAATACATGGACTATAACACACGAAAACAAGAAAGCCGCTTAACTCCTAATATGGCTAGTAAATATGAAAATATGCCTTAAAATGTGAGAATGTACGTAAAGTTCCCCCAACTCATTACAGAGGTACTCATTAATTTTTTTTAGAAAAAAATTTGAGGTGATCCTAAGTGCCAATACATGGGATAATACATGGGGAAAGCTTAGAAAATCGAGTAATTTATAAAAGTATGCTCGTAAATGCAAAAATATCCCTTAAAAATTGTGGGACTATACGTGAATGCTCCCCCAACTTATTATGAAGGTCCTCGTAAAGTTTTTCCATAAAAAATTTTGGGGTGCCCCAAGGTGTAAAATCCATGGGCTAGTATACACGATAAATAAAAAAGTTACATAATTTTTAAAAGTTGGCTCGTAAATGAGAAAATTTGCTATAAAAATGAGTAGACTATACGTAATGCTTCTCTAACTCATTATGGAGGTCATTATAAAAAAAAATTCATAAAAAATTTGTGGTGTCCCAAGACGCCAAATTCATGAACTAATACATACGAAAAAATAAGTAATTTGCATTGTATTCAAAAGTTCGCTTGTAAATGCGAAAATATGCCTTAAAATGGTGGGAGTACTGAAATGTTGTCCCAACTCATTATGGAGGTCCTCATCAAGTTTTTTCAGACAAAATTTTGGGATTCCCCAAGGCACCAAATCTATGGGCTATTACACACTAAAAGTCAAAAAATTACGTAATTTTTAAAAGTTGACTCGTAAATTTTAGAAATAGTAGAACTATAGTAATGCTCTCCCAAATTACTACTGAGGTCCTCATAAAAAAATTTCATAAAAAAAATTGGGGTGGAACTATATGTAGTCTTCCCCCAAACTCATCATGTAGCTCCTCACTAAAAGAAATCGGGTGCCCCAAGAAGCCAAATTCATGAACTAATACACAAAAAAATCAAGAAAGTCGATTAATTCCTAAAAGTTGACTCGTAAATGTTAAAATTTGCCTTTAAAATGGCGGACTATAAGTAATGTTTTCCTGACTTATTACGAAGGTTCTCATAAAGTATTTTTAAAAAATATTTCGTGGTGATCAAAGGTGTCAAATACATGGGCTAATACAACTGAGAAATCAAGAAAGTTAAGTAATTCCTAAAAGTTTGCTCGTAAATTCAAAAAAATATATCTTACAAAAATAGTAGGACTACACGGTATGCTCTTCAACTATTACGGAGACCCTCATAAAAAATTTTCTAGAAACAATTCGGGGTAGTGTTTAAAGGTGTCAAATCCATGGGCTAATACACACGATAAAACAAAGAAAATTGTGTAATTCCTAAAAATTGGTCCGTAAATGCAAAAATATGTCGTAAAATGATTGGACTATACGTAATGCTCCCCAACTCATTACGGAGATCCTCATAAAAAATTTCTAAAAAAACTTTGGGGTGCCCATGACACCAAATTCATGAGCTAATACACATGAGAAACCACGAAGATCGTGTAATTTCCAAAAATTTTCTTGTAAATGCAAAAATATTCCTTAAAAATAGTGACACAATATGTAATGCTCCCCAACTCATTATGGAGGGTCAAGGTTTTTCAAAAAAAAAATTTGGGGTGCCCCAAGATGTCAAATCAATGGGCTAATACACATGAAAAGCAAAAGTTGTGTAATTTCTAAAAGTTGGCTCATAAATTGAAAAAGATGCCTCAAGTATTGTGGAACTATACATAATGCTCTCGCAACTTATTTACGGATGTCCCCATAAAAAAAAATTCAGAAAAGAGGCGCCACGAAATTCGCATGATTTCTAAATGTCAGCTTTTAAATGTGAACATATGGCTTAAAATGGTTGAAATATACGTAATTCTCCCCCAACTCATTACAGAAGTTCTCATAAAGTTTTTTTTTTTTTAAATGGGTGCTCCAAGGGATCCAAATCTAAGGGCTAATACACATGAAAATAAATAAAAAAATCGCATAATTTCTAAGAGTTAGCTCGTATTAAAAATATTGCCTTAAAATGCTGGGATCATACGTAATCCACCCCCCCCCCCCTCCGCTTCTCCAACTCATTACAGAGGTCCTCATAAAATATATTTTATAAATTTATTTCGATTTATCATGTGTATTAACCTATGAATTTTTGTAGGACCATCCGTATTTAACCTAATACAATAAATTCACATTGACAGATTTTGGAGACCACTTCCTCGTATTGTTATTGTTGGAAAATCTTCATGAAAAGAGAACCAAAGCATACAAGAAAGTGGTCATTCAAACACCCCTAGTGTTGTCAATTCAGCTAGGGTGACTGAAACTTACCATATATATCAGAAAATCATAGAAATTACTATTGCATTTCAAGACTCAAATATGTGTTAGGGATCTTTCTCTTCCTTTTTGTTTTTCCTTCCGAAAGAAATCCAATAAATAAAAATCAAACTCCTATAGTACATTTGAAGTCATCTGCAGGAAAATTTGTAGAAACAATCCCTCGATTCCGCCAGCACTTACCTTCCATCAAACAGAACTCTAGAGCACTCGTGCAGTCACGTGGGTAGTAGTCCAAGGCGAGACGTTCTGTGAATCTTTCGGTCCCTGAAAGTTCCATAAGTCTTAAATCTGTAGTGACTATAAGTTAGACAAGCTCAAGTATAAACCTCTTCAATATACTGCTGTAGCTGTACTGCATTAAGGTTCAAGGTTTCAATGTCCTCGGCAAAAGCACTCATCTTTGCAGGCGCTGGCCATAGCGGACTAGTATGATACGAGACCCTGGATAGAGTAATACTCATTAGAATCTCAAAATACCAACAATAAGTCGAGGAACTCTAAAAGTACAAAAACAAAGGCACAATCCTTCACTGACAATGAGGCACAAGACACTATTCTCAATGATGCAATTCATCAAATCCAACAGCAGCAGTCCGGAATAAAGTGAATAAATGCAGAATAAGACGAATCTTCATGGCATTTCAATTAACTTAGCCACGCGAAGTGGTGATTCCTTTGAATGCACTTTAACCAACTCAATCAAAAAGCCATTGAGTGCTTCAAATTTTGGCAGAATAATAGGTGAAACTTCAACATTGTTAAAAGTGATTCATATCATTAGCATGACCTTCAAATATAACTGCATTTGTTATTGAAATGGATTTTCTTCCAGTTCATAGTGACATCATCCCTTTTTATCTGCATTATCAGCAATAGAAACTCATCTTCATGCATACTCATTAACCTCAATCCCCACCCAATGGCAGTACGAAAGAACATGGCAAAAACACCATCCAGCAGTACTCTAAAGGATAGTAATGATGCAGACTTCAAACATTTCCCACTTCAAACCAGCAACTGGTAACCAAGTTTGGCTTAAAATGCCAATTGAATTTTTCCATTCACAAAAGAAATAGGTCTTGCAGGAAAGAAGCGAGTGTAATCCCACAAGTAGGGTTTAAGGAGGGTAGGATGTACGCAGGCCATACCCCTACCTTTGTGGGGCAGGGAGGTTGTTTCCGATAGAACCTCAGCTATCAAAGTACGGATGCAGGAAAATACGACAGAAAAATTAGTTGCCAAATGGAATGTACCTATCACCTTTTCTTATCATCACAAGTTACTAGCCTTCTAAAGCATACGTTGGGACCTGCATTCAATTTACAAGATACTGATGTAAGTAACAGATGTAAGTTATCTCAGACTAAAACTAAAAAACTCACTTCAAATTCATTGTCAACTTAGTTAAAGTTGTTTACATATAAGAACATCAATGGCTTTGGCTTATTTTATCAAGGCTCATAGGGGAAGGTGATGGTGGAGCCAACTTCTATTGCTTGAGGACCACTGATGAGGGACTTTGCCTTTTATTACTCCCTCTGCCCCAATTTATGTCACCGAGCCACGGAGTTTAAGGGGGAAAAAAGACTCTTGAACGTTGTCTAAAACATGCCATAATTTTTTTGAGGCTATAAAAATCATGGTCAATGAAAATTAGAAAGTTTAAATTAAATTGTTGCTAAATATAGAAAAGTGTCATTTTTTTGGGGCACACTAAAAAGGAAAGTGTGTGACATATTGGATAGAGGAAGTAGTAAATTGGCAATTATATATCTTATTCTAGACCATCTAAAAACAAAGCTTGATATATCAAATGACCATCTCTGCCTAAAAAGGCAATTGCTGGTAAAAAAAGCCACAACTCCTACTAAAATCATGACTAATAACAGCTAATTCAGAAGAAGTAGTTACAAATTCAATTCAGTCACTATTATACCTCGAGCATGTTCTCGACAGGAGAACAGGGAATTGTGCGACCCAGGCTGTTCGAATTGTCATATTGGAGAATCCTTAACTTCCCTTCCTGCAAAATTATAGGAAAATTAATCACGATGAGCTTTTTAAGATAAGAATGTATTTATCTTTAGGAAGAAGAAACATAAAAGCTCATCAAAAGTTTATATTGGTTACCTTGGTTCCATAGACAAGGCCACCACCAACCGAAGGATGGAAACAAGCGACATTGACCTCATCCTCCGTGCTGGGAAGAACTCTCACAAGTTCCATATCAGAAACTCTATAGACCTGATTCAGAAACGTACAACTTAGGACATAGAGGATTAATGTGTCCCTAATTCTATGCACCTTACAAATTTTTTTATCGATAGTCCAGAAACTGAATAGAAGGACAGTGTGTATCAACTTTGAACACCTTCCTCTTTCTTTCATTTCGCTCTTTATCCACTCATTTGGTCTCTTTCTACTCAAAATAAAATTTAGAATATTTGGATGCTGTCTTTATCTAAAATTTAATAAAACAAAAATAACACACAGGCAAAGATATTGAGATCTGTCAATTTTTAGTTTTAAGTGTTTTAAATTTTAGGTTTCAGATGGGTGGATCCGGCAAGCTCACCGGAACACATCCAATAGGGGAGGATAGCATCTTTTGTAACGCAGGTTTCAAGTCCTACGACATTACGAGATGTAAAGACAAAGTTGGGAGGTGGTTTGAATGGGCGGAACACAGCCGACATCAGATGAGAAGAGCGAAAATTAGCATATTAAAGTCCTCAAATGGTTAGTTGCAGTATTTATTGAAGCCTCCAAAGTGCAGAGGAGGACCGTTAAGAGGTGGAACATGAAGGACCACTTTGCAGAAATCTATTGCACTCTCAAATACAATGAGAGTGGGAGATACATCAGTTTTATAACATTACAAGGTTAGCATAAATCAGTCATACTTACTCCGGAATCTACATTCAAAGGAGGTTGGGGGAATATAACTCACAAGATTGCTGGGTGAGGCAACGGAGAGGGCAGAGATACAGGGCACAGCAAACAGAGTAGGGATCACAGGAGGCAAATCACAATCAGATAAGGACCTCTTGAAAAGATGCATAGTAGGGAGATTCTAGTTCCATACAAACGAAAATCCTAACTTGAATGATGTAAGAAGATGGGCCTGTAACTCCTGGAAATCGGCGATAGAAGTCAAAGTGTATGCCATGAACGACGGGCATTTTATGTTTGAACTACTATCAGGACTAGCAGTAGAGCATGTCTTAAGAGGCCAAAGGATCTGGAAGAAGATGAAATCGGAGCTTGAATGGTGGAAACCAACAACTGGCTACTGGCCATCAGAGGTAAGGAGAGATAGGGTATGGATCAGCTGCAAGGTTTACCTATGAATATATGGTCGCAGAAGGTTTTTAAAGAGATCGGTAACCTATGTGGAGGTTATATCTAGACGGAGGAGACCTTTCTCAAAAATCATCTTCATTGGGCTAGAATAAAAGTACAAGGCGACAGCAAACAGATTCCCAGAGAAGTAGAAATAACCTGCTATAGTTTCACTTACACCATCCCGGTATGGTGTGAAGCTCCGGTCACATGAAATTTTCAGAGGAGATGAGAGAGCAAAAGGGAAAATAGCCAGGGGGTTAATACCCAAGATCAGCTTTTGCAGATGTAAAGGAAGTACTAGCAGTGGAAAAGGTGGACGGGCACGTGGGGTCTTCGAGTGAGGGGTCTCTTCTGCAAATGGGCTGGAGATTTAGAAGGGAGAATATAGCGTGTATAGCAGACAAAAGGTAAAAGGACTTTGCGCCCAGTTCTTTTAGAACCAATTGCTGGGGAAAAGGCTAGAGACCAAGCTTTACAAATCCCTTCAGAAGACATAATTAACATCGAGATATCAATGAATCAAACGAAGGAAATAAAGCTCGAAGTCAGATTACGCCTGGGAATAGGGACAAGGGGGAACAGGAAGTTGTGAGACATATGGTAGACATGCCTGGAAAAAATAAGGAAGAATTGGGGGAGAGAAGTACAGCAATAATGGTACAACCATTGGCAGAGGAGAATACAAATGGAGGAGCAGAGGATGTTATCCCACTGGGTATCCAATTCCCAGAGGAAGGCAGCAACACACTGTGCACCTCAGAATGGATACAACAACATATAATCAAACTAAGCTCGGAATTTGGGGTTAACCTGAAAGAATGTGACAATAGGGCGAACGAATTATTGATGAAGATTGACAGTAATAAGCAAGAAAGCAAAGGGGAAACAGAGTGAACAGTCGACATGCAAGAAGAAAGAGCAATTGGAACTAAAGAACCTACAACTAGATTCTTAGTTTCACAGCAATGGCTCTAGAAGTAACGGGGAGTCTATTTGGCCATCATGTATTAATGAATGTAAACATTGTATCCTGGAATGAGAGGGGATTGAATTATGGGAAGAAAAGGTGTATGATCAGGAACATGTTAAGAATCTGGAAAGCAGATGTTGTGTGTCTTCAAGAGACAAAAAGGGAGGGGTAAATTACAAACATAATTAAAGAAATTTGGGGTAGTAGATGGGCAGATTATGTGCAACTAGAAGCTAATGGGACTAGGGAAGGCACACTTATTATGGGGGATAAAAGAATATGGGAAGGGGAAGTAAGTAGTGAGGGAGCATACTCAATTTCATGTTGGTTCCCTGGCAAAAATCAGGATTTCAAATGGCACCTAACGGAAGTCTACACCCCAAATGACATTTGAAAGGGAAGCAGCTAGAGGTCTAATCCAAGGTCCTTGGGTCTTATGTGGGAGAATCAGCAGGTCATTTTCAGAGTTCATTGAAGACATGGAATTAATGGACTTAGAAGTTCACCCATGTCATTTACACTGCAAATGGACGGATCAATTATGGCAGATGTTCATCCACAAGAGGAAGATCAACTGGATGAAACCAGGGAGAATCACATAATTTCTAAAATGCTGAAATAGTGATGGAAATGCAGGAAAAAAGGAGGAGAGATGGAGGATTGTCCCAACATGCATTTGGCGGACAATTTGGAAGGAAAGGAATAGAGATGTTTTCAAGGAAAGAAGAACAATATTCAGAAGATAAATATAAACTGCCTAGGTTTAACTATATTTGGTGTAAGCAAGTGGTGATAGGAAATTCTGAAGATGTATCTAATGCTATTGACTGGATGTAACTAGAAGATCTTAGGACTAACGTAAGTAAACTTTTGGGGGGAGGGGACACTTTGATGGAGTATACCGGAGACCTGCTTCTCTAACCATAAAATTCCTCACAACATTCTTCACTTGAAGTAGATCTAGTTAAGGTTTCTATCTTTCATAAATGTATGAAGATCTGTAAAGCTACTCTCATGTTTTTTGTTGATCAGACAGAAATAATATCACTATATCTCTCTGATCTCACTATCTGAGAAACACCAGGTCATCGTTTTAAGTTAATTTCTTGAAATGTCAATAGGCTACTGAAAATATGACAATTAATACATTAACATTTTAGACCAAAGCAAAAATTATGCATCATAAACAGAAACAAGAATTAGTAAGTGTTTACATAACGCAACTATAAATACCTATAAAAGTAGCAATACACTTAAATAATTGCTTAAGCCCGACATAATGTTTCTCACCTCAAGAATCGTGTAAATGGGTATAGTTGTGTCTCCATCAATCACAACACTTTTCAGTAGTGAACTATGGCGACGCCCATAAGCAAGTAACAGATGCTCTGAAGTTGGAGAAAACTGCAATTACAAAAGATGAGGAGCCCCAATCAATGTCTCAGATCGGTAAGCAACAAAGCATATTCCAAGAAAACAAGTTTTGCTATTATGTATCAATATTTGAATCTCTTTTTCCTTCTGGATAAGTAATGTTGTCTATGATTGACTAGTTTTACAAAAATAAGAAATAAGCAACTTATGAAAGGTATATTGTAATGATTAGGGAGATTTGAGGGGGGGGGATGCGTCTTTTCCGTAATGTCTTATTACGAGAAGCTCATTAGCTCCGAGAAAGGTATGTTTCTTCACTACAAGGGGGTGATCCTAACAGCAAAAAAAGTTGAGAAAGAGGACAATCAATTGTGTTAGTTGGTTCTTTATGTGTAAAGAATTGGGAGATCTGAATATTTACTTTATATTGTCGGATATGTGTTGCTTATGGTGGAATATTCTGAGACGGTTTCATATTGGGTAGGCAATGGTGTGCACTGTGAAACATACATGGTATAGCTGGGACTTTAGGAGGTGAGGCAGAGCATGGGACATTGCACCCTTAGAAATTATGTGGATCATATGGAAAGACAGGAATAGGAGAGCTTTCGACAAAGTGAAGAAAGATTTTGTACATTTGAGGAATATCCTCTTTTTCCTCATTTCTTTTTGGTGTACCATGAGGTCCATACTTATATAAATCATTGGGATTGTTCATAAAAAGCTGTCTTTTTATAAGGCTTTCTAATGTTCTGGTATACTTCTTGTATACGGGCATGTTTTTGCCCTCTCATTTAATGATATTATTTCTACAGAATAGTAATTAGACCAACAATGATGTATGGGGCAGTGTGCTGGCTAGTCAAGAACGTCCAAGTTCAAAAGATGAATGTAGCGGGGATGAGGATGCTATGGATGTGCAGACATACTAGGAGAGATAAGATTAGGAACGAAGTTATGATGGGAAAGGTGGGAGTGACTTCCGTGGCAGATAACATGAGGGAAGTGAGATCGAGATGGTTCAGACATGTGAAGAGAAGGTATGTGGATGTGCCAGTAAGGAGGTGTAAAAGGTTGGCAATAGCAGGAGTTGGGAGGTAGAGGTAGGTCAAAGATGAACTGAGGAAGTGATTAGACAGGACAAGACACAACTTCAGCTTACTGAGGACACGATCTTATATAGAAAGGCATGGAGGTCGAGGTTAGGGTAAAAGGTTAGTAGGTAGCCGAGTGTTGTTGCACTTTATGTGGGACAAAAGGGGCTAGCCTCATCTCCTCTCTTTCTTATTGGTAGTAGTATTTGTAGTCGCGTAGTTTCTTGTTCTCCAATGCGTCTTGCTATTTTTTATTTCATTTGCCTTGTATCTTGCTAAGATAATGCGATGTCTTATTTGCTTGCTACCCCGCTTTGACAACTTCTCTTTTGAGACGAGGGTCTACCGAAAACAACATCCCTAGCCCCACAAATGTAGGAATAAGGTTTGCATGCGTCCTACCCTTCCCAAACCCTTTCCTGTAGTTCTCTCTTTCATATAGATCTAATTATTTTTCATTTCTGTGAGTTTTAAAACAAAAACTATTAGATCTAGAGTTTTATTTCCTTAGTAAAAGGAAAGGCAAAAAGAAAGAAAAAAGATGCAGAGTTTAATTCCATGTAGAACTGCTCTTTTTCTATTAGAAAACAAGTTTGATAAAACAAATCCATGAACCTAAATGAGTATTTACCTGAATTGAAGTTAAACAATGAGCAGCTCTAATTGCTCGAGCTGCAAGTACGGAACCAAACCTACACATGACAAAGAGTATCAAGTAACCAACAATCATAACAGGAATAAAAATAAAGACTGGGGGAGAAATTAGACAGAAAAGAAAGCACAATATAAGCTATTGTGATTCGGTAATTACGTTTCCTCCTCCAGGGAATATATCCGTAGCTCATACATAACCTGGTGGGCAGCAACTGGATGTCTGGTTGGAGAAGTCGAAGCTGTCATAGTATCATGATGAAGATGACCATGAAAACCAGGATCAGAGTCTAAGTTCGGCAGAATACATGCAACACAAGCTGCTAAAAATCGCCCACATGGTGAAAAATGGGCTCCCATTTCACTGAAAATGTTACCTCAATGTAAGCATTCAGAAAAGTTCATCTAACAACATATCTATTTTCATTCTGACACAAATTAGGAACTATCAAAATAATACATGAAAAGTTTCCGGAGTATAGGGCTAAGAGGCTAGTAATCAACTACTCAAATAGAAATATTAGGTTCAAGATGATTCTTCATGACAGCTTAATATCCCAGTGTCTTTTAAAAGCTTATCCATATAGGTTGTAACAATATCAAGCCACGGATTCGAAAGAGTACATATCATTCCCACCTGCAAAGTACGGCATGAGGTATTATTAAGTGACATCTTTCAGCATCAAGGGCTGCACATGGAACCTTAATATCATAAGGCCAAATCCTGAGTTTCACAGTGCAAGGTAATTCAGCAGCTGCTGCAGCTGCAAGTGAAGTAGCTATCTCTGACTGGATGCGACCAATAGAAATTTGTGAATCACTCTCATCATGCATAACATTAACAGGAGCAGCGCCATCACCAGCTCCAGCAACAGGGATCATCCGAGAGCGAGAAGAACGGTGCCGAGAACCAGATCTTCCGGACCTTGGATGACTATTGCTTGAAATTACCAAGGGAACAGCAGAAGGATTTTCCAGTTCACCATAAGTTGATGGATTGATGGTAGCACCACCAAGATCTGAACGAGTTGTTTGTTGAACAGCTTGGCTTCGACCAATCAACCATCCTTGCAAAAAAGGCAATTCCCAGTATGCCGGGTCACTAAAAGGGAAAAACTGATTGTTTCTCTCTTCTGGCTGCCCATCAGTCTCCATGGGATCAACTAAAAGTTGAGTACCAGTTTCGTTTTCCCTGACAGAAGAACTAGTATGAGCTTCTTGTGTAGGAGATGCACTTTGCTCAATAGGCGACAATAAAAGTTCATACTGGACGGACGGAGTTGAATATGTAAGAAGACGGACAGATGACAATGTGTCTGATCTCTGCTGTATATTATCAGATCCCACATCTATATCACTCTGCTGCATGGGTATTCTAGGATCACCTCTTGCAATTGACGGCCAGATCAGGAATGGTAGAGACATGATAGGCAGTTCATTTGCTGAAGCAGATTGATAAGTGGAATAAGCATCAGTCAAATACACAGTAGGAGGAGGATACTGCAAGTTACCCGGAGAGGTCGCACGAGTCATTGAGGAATCTGATGAGTCCAGATCGTTGACCTACAAAATAAAGGGTTGAAGGCATCTAAAACAATCACAATTCACACCCAAGTCACCAAAAAACACAGTGATACCTCAGCTGTTAAAAGAAATGGGGCACCATGTGGGTGGAAATGGACAGCACGAAGAGACCGCCGTGTCTTCAGTATAATTGATGGTGAAGAAGCCTCTCCTCTTCTGTTATAGTGCCATATGTAAAGCTGTCATAGATTGTAAAATCAGCATCCCTACCAGAACATGAAATGTAAATCACCCAAGAGAGTGTTTTCAGTTTAAATTTTTACCTTGTGGCCTGAAGCAACAGCCAGAACTTCCCCCTGGGCATGGAATGCAATGGATGCAATGGGACGATCTGTAGGAAATGAATGTTTCACCAGTTACAGTCAAAAGAAAAAGAGTAAAGTGTGCACAGTTTTTTCTTTAAACTATTGAGATGCTACAGGTCATTACAAAAATCACGCGATCCTATACACTCTGCAGTTTTTGCATCCCACAGACGAACTTCGTGGTCCAAACTTCCACTTGCAAGTATTTCAGGGTACAACGGATGGAAACGAACCTACAGATGTTAACCAAAATGTAAGATATCCAGGAAGAAAGGTGATATTCCAAAACATTCTGCGAAAAAAAAAAAGAAGATGGTCTCACCACCCAAGGTGTCCTGCGGTGTCCACTCATAACCTTTAAGCATTTCCCAGTTTGACAGTCAATTATTTTCACTGTGTGATCTCCACTGCCGCCACGGGAATATGTCAGTAAACTTAAAAAAGTGAAGTTGCTGAGATTAGTCCCAACCAATACAAGTAAAATTCTTGCCAGAGTATCTTACATTCTTACTTTATCAATAAGGAGGGAGAATTCACAAATGACTACATCACAATTTTGCGCATATATCCATATGGACTATGGTTAATGAATAGGTAGTTTGCAAAATGGGAGCGCTAGATAATTACAATTAAGACAACTACGATCAAATTGAACAGATCGATACAAAACTAGCATAATATAACACAGATTATACATGTCTATGTAATCGAAGAGAGACTGACTGCGTAGAAGCAAGTGTCCTCCCATCAGGACTGAATGCTGCTGCAATGGTAGACCTCGGAGGAGGCAACAGTGAGCAATATTTAGCTGATAAATGTTGCAATGACTCTGCCTCTACCCTGCAATAATTTAATGAGACATATGGAGAGAAAAGGATGGAGCAGATTCTATCAGACTTTACAGGAAAAAAAAGAGATAATGAAGTTACCACGATATTAGTCCTTGTCTAGCATCACTTCCCACTCCGCGTTTCAACCCATAGGAGTCAAGAGTACATTTTGTATTCTCACCCCAAAACTTTCTGGAAGCGCGTTTAGTTCGAGGAGCTACCTCCCTCCTTGTTAACAGCTGAAAGACATTACTGTATCAGGTAGAACAATAAACCACATCAGCAACAGATAAAATCCATCTAATTCATTCCATATGATCACAAAATTTACTTGGCTAAATATTTAGTTATTTATTGTAAGATACTAATATTGGAACCATATCATAATTATTATTATACATTCCTACTACAGAAATCTGTGTTAAATTAAACTTAATGATATGATTTATAACCCTACAAATGTATATGACTTTGTTTTTAGGCCACTAGTTTCAAAAATCTTCATTTCTTTCTAAAATTTTGAGCCCAGTCAAATAACGCCGCATAAATTGGGAGGGAAGGAGTATCAGATTCCGGTGTGGCCAGAAACTACATATGTTTGGTAACTGAAAACTGCCAGTTAGCAGGACCCAACAACACATAACCGATTAACTGTTCCCTCTTTTGGACCGGGTAATACAGCAGTTCGTCCAAGTGGGTTTATAAAATTCCAAAATCTGAATTATCCCTGACGGGACTCACATTTACCCCCCTACCCAATCACCATTAGGTCTAGCTCATAATAAGCCTCATCTACTAAACCTCAACCGACCTATTCCTCCAACAGAAAAGCTCCAATGCCACCCTCTAAAAGACCTTCAGAGATTCATGATCCAAAACCCACATGAAACACTTCCAACGCATAAAACCCAAAACCCACTGAAGAATCCTGTATTCCACCTGGCCCAGAACCCACCTCAAGAGCACCAGCCCCAACAAACACATTCCTAAATTTGCCCAAGTCCCAAATCACCCTTTTTCTCTCCTCAGCTTGACGCTAACTCTGCCACAACACTCTCCACCAATTGCTTACCCTAACTTAGCTTCCCTAAGCCTCACACAATTACCCCGCTTAGGATAGTCACTCCTATTCTTGTAAAGTCGACTTTCATACCCCTTTCAGTCAGATATTGACAGTTGCTATCAACTTGAGTTAACACATATATGAGAAGTTTTGGAACCCATTGTTGTTGAAGACCTCCAAAAGATTTTCTCATACTATATCACTATCATTCACTATTTTATTTATCAACTAAATAAGAATTCATTAACAAACAAGCTAGCTTGGCCGTTTACAAGATGTACACCAAAAATTGAGTAACCTACAAAATATGATTCTCTACATGACACTCAAATTTCTATACAAACAGGAAACATGGGTGCACCAAAAGAAAATAAGATATTGAAGACTACTACTCAATTGAGAAAAGTTCATCTCCAACCCTTCAAAAGCTATCTTATTTCTCTCCCTCCAAAATGCAAAGGAGCCACTCTACAATCCTTGTGCTTTCTTCTTATTCTTCCGTCTTTCCAACTGAACATAAACACTTCCACTGATCTTGGCATAGTCCAAGATATGCCAAATCATCCAAGTAAAACCCACCATAATCTCGTGGCTATGATACAATGTAGTAGAAGATGATCTACATCCAGATAAGCAAGGCAGATTTTCAGTTGCCTCAGCTTATACAAGCTCACAAAGACCTGGTACTCATATAGGTGGATGGCCTTGGAAGATGATTTGGAAGGTCAAGATACCATTCAAGATAGCATGTTTCACTTGGCTGTTAGCCAATCAGGCTCACTCAACACAACCTCATGAAAAGAGGTATGCAAATCTGTTCCAGGTGTTGGTTTTGTGAACGTGAGGTCGAGACGATAAATCATCTCTTTCTAAATTGTAGAGAGACTGAAGTTGTGGCAGATTTTCATCAACTTAGGGGCATCAGTTGGACTATGCCGAGAAACATCAAAGAAGCTCTAGCTTGCAGGAACAGAGATGGGAATCAGTCAGGACACAGGAGAGATGGAAGATTGTCCCTGCCAGCATTTGGTGGTCTATGGATGGAGAGGAACCAGAGATGTTTTAAAAACAAGAGTTGCTCTATGCCGAATTTGAAGCTGAATTGTCTGGTTCTTTTCTTTTTTTGGTATAAACATGAATATCCTCAAGATGCAGAGGATATTCCTAGTATCCTAGAGTTCTTATGACCTCCATAGGAGTTCCTTTTTTCTTACGCAACTTTTGGATGTAAGTATTACTAGAATATTCCTTTGTTTATAATACAAGTTAACTTTCTCAAAGAAAAAAATCCTCACCGGCTTCCTTGCAAAGAAAACACCAACTAATGCAAACAACCTTACATTTAGTTTTTTCACTGCTAAAATCAGCCTTCTAGTAGCAAATCATGTGAAAAAATACACATTTCTTGGCACCTCCCTAAACAAAAGTTATTCATAGAAGGACTAACAGAGAAAACTTTGTATTCTCCAACTCCCAACTCAAAGCAGCAGGTCTATTAGATAACTCACAGTGCTTATGAAGTAAAGCAAACAGCCTTTGAAACTCATTCATCTCTCAACTTGAAAATCCCTCCTGAACATCAAATCCCAAGACCCTACACATACACAGAAAGTCATCCTTTTAACACTTAGTCCCCCCACCATTTATGGCCCCAAAAAGCTGCTCTACTCCCATCGCCAACCTTAAATGAATGTTGCCATAAAAATCTTCCCACCCCTTCATAATATTCCTTCATACTTCACACACGAACAACAAAGTGATATCATTTGTTCTTCACCCCATATATATTCATTGTAAAGCTCTCCACAAAGCTTGTACCTCAACCCCAAATCTCCTCAATCATTTCCCTAACAAATTTTTATTGAAAACCTTCAAATCTTTAATCCCAAGACCTTCCCACTGTTTAGGAGATGTCAGTCTCCCATCGCACCAAATGGAACTTCTTTGCCCCATCCGCCGAACCCCAAAGAAAATTTCTTTGCGGTCTTTCCAATTTTCCTGTAACAGAGGTAGGAGAATTAAATATTGCAAGGAGAATTAAATAGAGACATGCAATATGTAGGGATAACCAATATGGTGCACTTCGTTCCCTACCTCTGAGAAGTAGCTTTTCTGCCAACCTACCAGCTCTTCTCGACCCTCTGAATGACTGAATTCCAAGAACTAAGATATTTATTTGATGCGTCTAGCGGTAAAACAAAGTCGGCGAGGGTACCTACCCTACACTTCAAGACTTGGGTGAACCTATCATAATCCTTTAGTATTGCAGTCATTAATGGTCACCCAACCCATCATACTCAGATTCGAGAATGTGGTAGGAGCACAAAGATTTTGATGATAGGTGAAGCAATGGTAGGGTTCTATGTGTTTCTACGATAGTCCAGATTTTATTTTTGCCAAGAACAACAAAAAACACTTGTCCCAAAACATATAATCTTATATATTGCCAATTTAAGTCAACTAAATCACCTATTTGCCGCACATATTTATTTACACCAAAAAAAGAACAAACTAAGACATGCATCCAAATTTTCTGGATAGAATTGCTAGTGCCTTCAAAATATCTGAAACTTCTTTCTTTCCGCACACTCCACCAAATGCAAGTACAGATGATCTTCCACCAATCCTCCTCCCCATCTCTGTATCCTACACTCCACGAACTGCTCAAGAACCCCAGAGTAGAGTTACGTACTACCAATTTTATCCCCAAAATACAAAAGAACATGTCCCGCAAATTTATAGTTGTCTTGCAGTGTAAAAAATGGGTTCATTGCTCTCAACGTCTTGGTCACGTAAAAGATTTTCAGTGCAGCAGCACAAAAAAAGGATAAACCACGTAAAGATTTTCAGTGCAGGGTGATGAGGAAAATAAGACATTTAATTTGTGGAGTGGTGTCTACAGACGAAAGAGCAGGTGACATTAGCGTTAAAGGACTTATGGTTCAAACCACTGGCTTGCAGCAAAAATGACTTTGGAGGTTCAATAAAGAGGCAGTGGCTTAGAGAAATATTATTTCTAAGTGTGAGATGCTAATTCCATAGATAACCAAAACACCCATCTACCAAGCACATGTGCTGTCCGGAAGAACTTAAGAACTCACTAGATGTCAAGCCTCCCCTCTATCGAAATTAGTAATGGTGCAAAAACAAGATTTGACAGACAAATAGCTGGATTCCCATATTGCTTTATCAGGTAAATGGAATTTCATTCAATAAATATCCAGTGGATGCAAATCAGTGTAAAAAGAGTTGTTAGCTTCTCTGCTTCCTATGACTCCTGTCTAAATTCAATGAACTTACAAAATCAACAAATAGAACAGAATTGTTTGCATTATAGTGATTATACCAAGCAAAAAGATTTGAGTAGACATCTGGAATTTAAAACATGAACTGGAGTTGCAATTCCATCGAAACACGTTTGATATCAAATACTCCAAATAATACATAACGGGGATCATCTTCCAAGTGTTTTGAAGGTTTTCCCAACTCTCCATTTACCCCAGCTTACAAGTTCTTCCTTTAGTCTTCTAAGCATCCCAAATATACACCAGAAAGAGTCCTAGATTCTTTCGCAAATAAACAGTGCAGAAGCTAAATAACATCTATTGCACAATGCAATACCTCTTTTGCACGAATTATCATGTGTTGAGCATGTTCCTAAAATTCTCAGCTAACTAAAATATGCCACTTTTGTGGGTGCTTTAGTTCTCCATATTCATTGGCCAATCATACATCATACGGGCTCTTCACCATCAATGGGCCAATATCTTCTTCTATATTGCTGCAGTGCAGATTGAATCTTCAATACATGTTGGTCTGATTTAGGCTGGAATATTGTTAACTGTAAATGGACCGTCTCTGCTCCTAATTTCCCCAATATCACAGTTCTGCACCTCCCTCCCCCCCTTGATGTGCTAAGATGACTCTTTACGATCACCTCTTTCTCCACTGTCATTTCACTTCACAGATATAAAAGTTCCCTCTATAGCATCCTGGAGGCTACTTGGGTTCTAATATACACTAGGAATTCTAAAATCTTGTCAGCTGTAGATAAATTCTACAATAAATCTGCATTGTTAGATACTCCTATTGCACTAGTAGGGGTATATAAATGGAGCGACATGACTCACATAGCCAACCCCAGCAAGCTCGGAATGACGTGTAATTATTGTTGTTGAAACTACAAAAAAGAAATATTGTAATTACGATCATCCAAAAGCACACATTTTGGAGAATAAGCCATCATCTACAGCCTCGGATCAATTCATCCAATCACAGTTGAATTCCAGGCATTACGAGAGAGAAAAAGCTAAAATTTCAGATCTACAAATACGAAAAGCTACTAAATTTGCAAAATTCAGATAAAAAAACTAGGGTTTATATTTAGACCTGTGTTTACAATTGACATTTTGAGATGCCGCAGAAGGAGGAGAACTCCTCGACGTCGACGGAGCACTGCTTAAATTGTCCGGCGACATAGATGATCTCATAACTATCCCTTAACAAAATCTCATCCCCCAAATTCTTCAGTCAATTCAATGAATTCAAACAACTTTTCTCCGATAATTTAGATTAATACAGAACAAGAAACTGTAATTCAACTGTATATTTCAAATTTTGATGAATTTCCCGGGAAGATGACGCCGACGGTGTCGAGATCCTGCAGAGGGGCAAAACGGGAAGAAGGGCGATGGAAATATGGGAAGAAGAAGAAGTACTGTAACTTGGATTTAGATTTTCCGGCGTCGGACAATAATTTATTTGACGGATATGCCCTTTTCGTTTCGTTAGGAAGAAAAAGGGAATACCTAGAAAAATCAAAGTTTAAATTTAATAGTTATTTTTATTGATTTTGGCATCATTATTATTATTTATTACAAATATTTACAAATAAAATAAATACTTTTACATATATTAAAGACTATTTAGGTTATGTGATATCCAAAAAATTAAAATAATTATCTTTTATATATTATTACAAACTATTTTCATGTGTCCAATGACTAAATTGATCAAATATAACTATTTATATTAAGGACTATTTCACTATATATGTGTCAATAAAATAAAAGTATTTTAAAATTTTATTGGTCTTAAACATTTTAAATAGAAAACTTCAAAATTTAAAAAGTATTTTAGAAAAAAGAGATTTTTTTGTTAAATAAATTATAAAAAGAAAAACAACACAAAATATATATCTCTCTCTATATATATATATATAAAATAGGCATTTTAGGGCTACGGTAAGGAATTTGAGAAGTATGTAACACGAAGACAAATGGAAAATGTATACTTGTGTTATAATGTCATAACAAAGTTTATAATAAAACAATATATTCTTTTGGAAACAAATGAAAAATAAGAATCAATGTCATGATTTAAAAGATGAAATATACGAATGTTCGGAGTAAAAAAGATAAAAAAAAAACTTATTAAAAATTTCTAAAAGGCAATAAAATTAATTTTACAATCAAAAGAGTAATATTTTATTGCTTAAAATAACGTCGTCTAAATCAGATTGAATTTAGCAAGGTGCGTTTTTCTCGTGCGTCAGCCGCATTTTGCCTTGTAAGTGTGCGTTAAGGTGCATGAAATTCACGCTTTTCTTGAAAAATACTTTTTCTCGTTTTTAATTAAATTTAATCTTGTGGGAGAAGGCGACAGGATCATGTACCTTACAAGGCAGCCATGCCCTGCGTCTCTCTTATTTAATTTATTTTTTTAAATTTTAATTCATTCCGATCTTTTAAGTAAGATTTCAACAATTCAAGTTTGAAAAAATATCATTTTATTAAGATAAATATAATATAAGTTAATCACATAATTTTATAAGTAATAAGTTTATAAACTTTAAATATAAATAACAATTAGAATTATTTTGATTCAAAATATTGATACTTTAGTATACCCTACTTTAATAGGGAAAAATGCACAAATATTCTCTTAACCTATGCCCGAAATCTCAGAGACACACTTATACTATATTAAGGTTCTATTACCCCACCTGAACTTATTTTATAAGTAATTTTCTATCTCTTTTCGCCCTACATGATACAAGCTTGAAAAAAAAGTCGACCAACGTTGGACCTACAAGATAGTGCAGGTAGGCCGAAAAAGGATAGAAAATTATTAATAAAATAAATTGAGAGGGTAATAGAACCTTAATAGAATATAAGTGTATCTCTGAGATTTCGAACATAAATTAAGGGGTACTGGTGCATTATATCAAAAAAATATATATATATTACAAGAGATGCTTAGCTCCTCTCTTGGAATCAACGTACTATTAAGATATTTTTTTAAAATATTAAGCTTACATAGATTTTTACTTCTTATGATAATTTAAACTATCACAAAAATACTTAATGTTATAAAAGATAATAAAACATAAATTATGAAATTAGTGATTAAAAGTTTGTATACGAAAGAAATATCAAAATAATTGATATTTTTTTTATTCTTTAGAATCATTTTCTTGATTTTACCTCTATAATATATTTGCAATCTATAATAATAATACTAATTATGATTTTGACGTTTGGTTTTATCAAATTTTGATTTTATTTTTCGATTTTAGGAAAGTATGTACCGTATATTTAAAAATTAATTCGATTCATATATTGGTTATTCGGTATGATTTTTTCTCTTTCGATTCGATTTTTCTATTTCGGTTCAATTTAGTTCAACATTTATATCAATTTTTTGGTGTGAAATGAAAAAATAAAATATAAGATAGTTAGAAATTTAAAACTATGTTAAGGAAAAATGTGTATTACCGTGGAATATTTGTCTTTATCAAGAACAGTGTGTCTCCAACAATTTATCGAGAAAAACAAGTATGAAGATGATTTCTTTACATAATGTACATTGGTAGAAATATGTTTGAGTTTATCATGAAAATTAATATTTCAAGTTAACTATTAAAACATTGGTGTTACTTTAATTTATTCATTAATGATTTAATTGTTGATTGAATTTTAATTTTTGTGTTAAGATTATGTCGTATGTATACATAAGAAAAAAATAACTTTTTTAAAATAAAATTTTCGTTTTTTGATATTTTAAAATTTTGAGACCCTTACACTTAATCCTAAATCGAACTTCCAAAAATATAATATTAATACCAAATCAAAAAACTAAAAAATTAATTAAATTTGATTCGATTCGATTTTTCGATTTTCAGATATTTATGATCACCTTTACATCTTTTAAATATAAGATGCCGCCTAGGAGTTTTGAATGCATTTCCCAATGTCAACATGGTGTCATAATATTGTCAGCCTATTATGAGAATAGTCCAAACTTTCATCACATTTAATTTCAATGTCTATTATAAACAAAATTATATTAAAAAAATGAGATTATTTATGCAAATTTTATATTTATAATTAAAAAATATATTTTAAATATATAATAATTTATTTAAATAAAAATTTTACTTTTCTTTTCTATGTAATTACGATTTCATCACAATGACCAAACGAAGACAAAAAATACCAACAACATGATAGTGAAACTAATTCTACAACATTTATTTAAGAAAAAATTAGAGAAATCTCAAATTTAAATTTTTTTATTATCATCATCTCTTATTAATTTTATAAATTTTACAAATTTCTTATTTTTCTCATATCAAATTAATGTATCTTGCGCATTATAGATTAGTGTATCATGTATAAAATGTAATGTATTTTACTTAACGGTTGATCTATCTCGCGCATCAGATTAATGTCAGCGCTTATACTATTGTATCTGTTTGAGGGATTTCTGTAATTATAAATTTATAAGGGACAAATATTAATTTTGCCTTAAAAGTTGTGACTTATGTCGTTTGCCCTTTATTTACTCCCTCCATTTAAAAAAAACGACTTTCTTTCCTTTTTAGTTTTTTTTTTAAAAAATGACCTCTTTCTATTTTTGGTAATAACTTTCAAAATGACATGTTTAAGGTCACGATACTAAAAAGGTAATTTTGTACATTTGAGATAACTTTAATTTAAGATCACATGATCAAAAGTCTTTTCTTATTTTCTTAAAATTCGTATTGAGTCATACTAGATCATTCTCTATTAAACGGAGGAAGTATTTACTTTGGGAAGCGTGGGAAAAGACCCATGTGCAATGAATGAGTAGACGCATAGTAGGTAAAAGAAAAGTTGGGGAATACAAAATTATTAGAATTTTAAAGTCGTTTCATTTTTGAAAAACGAAAATATAATTTTTTGACGAACAAGGTTCACTACGCCCACACTAGCTTCTCATCTCTATAAACGTTAGCCAGTGCCTCCTAATTCTTTGTTCACTCTCACTGAAAATCCAATGGAAAACACTCAAAATATTCCAAATTTGAAGAAAAAATTAGGTGATGAAGTTGTTGTAGTTATGGTTCCATTTCAAACACAAAGTCATCTTGATCCTTTTCTCCAATTTGCTTGCTTAATCTCTTCTTATGGTCTCTCTGTTCATTATCTTAGCCTACCTAGTTACAATCACGACACTAAGGCTCGTGCCACGATGTTAAATCCTTGCGATTTAGCCACTATTCATTTTCATGACCTCGAAATGATTCCTACTCCACTCGACCCTGAAATCCCTAGTGAAGTACCTAAACACTTCCATTTATTCTGGAATGTTACCATGCATCTCCGCGAATCCATTACTTCCTTCTTACGTGATATTTCGTCTAAATCAAGACGAATTATCATGATACATGATTGTCTAATGTGTTATAATGTTCAGGATATTGCATCTTTCGATAATGCAGAGTCATACATCTTTAGCCCTGTGATTTCGGCCTTTGGTATGTATTGCGATCACTTATTTCCTCATGTTGGATTGCCTATCCCTATTGAACAACAACTACTTCAAAAGCTACCATCCTCTGAAGGATGGTATTGCGAAGAGATCATGCGAATAGGATCTTTTCAAGTTCAATATATAGGGAAGAGCTCCGCGGGTGATATTCATAATACAAGCAAAGTAATGGAAGGTAGTAATACTTTTATCGACTTGCTTGGAATCGGACAAGACAAGAAGCAATGGGCGATAGGACCAGTTCTCCGGCCTATTAAGAATGAAAAAAATGGATTCCCCTGTTTGGATTGGTTGGATAAACAACCTCCAAACTCTGTTCTTTACGTATCTTATGATATGTTGACTTCATTTTCTGATGAACAAATTAAGGAGCTCGCGATGGGTTTAGAGCTTAGCAAACAGAAGTTCATATGGTTGTTGAAGGATCCTGATAATACTGATATCTATCTCGGGGCAAACCTCAATAGAGAATTTGAGTTTCATGCAGGGTTTGAGGAAAGACTAAACGGGGTCGGGTTACTAGTTAGAGATTGGGCACCACAAACAGAAATCTTGGCTCATTCATCCATTGGCGGGTTCTTAAGTGCGTGTGATTGGACTTCTTGTGTAGAGACCATCACTATGGGAGTCCCAATTATTGCTTGGCCTACACACTCTGACCACCCAAAAAATGGTTTTTTGTTAACAGAAATGCTGAAAATTGGCCTGGTTATAACGGAATGGGATAAGAAACGCGATGAGATGGTCACTGCATCCACCATTGATAATGTCGTGAGGAAGTTAATGGCATCAGAAGAAGGCGACGAGGTTAGGAAAAGAGCAAAAGAGTTGGGAGAAGCCGTGAGGAAGTCTACTGAGAAAGGGGGTGCTTCTCGAATGGAGTTGGATTATTTTATCGCGCATATCACTAGATAGAATTTTCTATGCTGTCTTCTAATTAATGCTCTTTCAATATTTCTTTCAACCCTGTTTGAATTCTCTGTTGTTAGTTCAAACTAGTTCTTAATAAATGAATGATCGTTGAAATGCTTTAATATCTAAATTTAGTGAAGTTTTTAGTAACATCCAATATTATTGAATTCGACAGAACTCGTATATATTAATCTTTATATACCATTGGAGGCAAATGGCATTGAAGGAAGGAGAAATGTACCTTGTTTACAGTGTGAATATCTGCAGACTCGAAGCTATCATAAGTTCTTTGCACCTTTTATTAGTACTGCTATCTGATCAGGTGTATTTGTATTCGACTCCATTTGCGCCTTATTTTCACTCGCGTTGTGATATATTCACAGACACACACAGAACAAAAGTACAACGAAGATTAAAGGTTCAACTTCATTGGATGTGCAATAGAAATGAAACAACATTGCTATTAGAACACGCAAAATACGTCTATAGATTTGAAAACGACAAGGGTATATAGAAACAGAAATTGTTTTAACGTTACTAAATGGAGCTTTGACACCAGCTAGAGCAAGAATAGATTCTGGAATTCCCCACAATGAGTCACCACATATTAGACCAGAAGCCACTGCAGGTCCAAAATCTTTAGCCTTCTGCTTGTTATACATTTGCCAACCGAATAGGATCAAGGACCCTACACACATGTCAATGGCAACGTAGCCTCCAAGGTAAAATGGTATGGCCATGCACATTGGAGTCGGAATGAATCTCTCAAATTTCTTCAACAGTCGAGTCACTAGGTTGATGAGAATAGCAGCGACAAAGAAGCAAATAGCTAGATTGAGGCAATGTTTGGGTAGACTTCCAAAACCTTCAACACCAAGTAGAGCGATTCCACGATACATGAGAGCGTATGGTGCAGGGTATGAACCTTCTGGATCACCTAACCGATAGGCAGAGTTGAAAATCCAGAAGACTAGAGGGGTTATGATACAACCCATGGCAGTTCCAATGAGTTGGCTAAAGAACATGGAACGCGGGGATGTAAGGGTTAAGTAACCAGTCTTGAAATCTCCCATTAAGTCAGAAGCTGTGCCTAGTATGCTCATCATCAAACCACATGAAGCAAGTCCAGCAATCACTCCACCATTCTCCAAACTGACCCAATAACTAAAAGTAAAGGATTGCAATCTTTCCGTGATTTGAGGCGAGGGACCAATCAGTTAGGCCGGCTCCATAAGAATTGCAGAAAGCCAAAATAGGAGCAATCAAATAGGCAACCAAAACGTGATACCATTTGAGCGAGTGGAAGATCATGGGTACTACAATGATCGATACAACTGCAATTCCAGCATATCCCTCAGCAGCTGCCCAGTTGGGAATCTGATCCTTCAAGAAGTATTTGTTTCGTATATTTTCATCTTCATCGTCTTCTTCTGAACAATCTTGCTGAGTACTACTCTTCCTCTTTGTGAAACTTGAGATTGTGACCACCAACATGTAGGCAAAATGGAATAGACCATCACCAAACATCATGGCAATTGCGATAAATACCCTGTATCCTTGTATACCATGAAGACTCGTTGCAGATAAGTTAGCAGAGTACCAGTCGCCTTTCTTAGCTTCAATCATTGGCCACATGAATGCCCACGAGACTATAGCACCAGTTAGCAATGATATGTTGACCATGTAAGGGCAAAGCATATCAACTCCAACATAGTATAACCTTTTGGTATATGCTTGGGAACCAAATGAATGCAAGCTAGCAAATGCGCAGCCTTCAGCACGTGCAAATATCCACTGAACAGCCCCAAATATAAAGCTGAACCCAAACGAGTTGAACAACGAACCAACTTGTTTCTTTGCTAGCTCTGCTCCTTTAGGAGTATGGAAACAGTTGATCAAGTATGCAGTTGCGGTTCCACTTGGATACGTCAACTTGTACTTCATTATCATCATCTTTCTTGATGCAACAATTGAGAATAAACTAACAACAAGAAGATAAGGAAGCATTCAAGTGATAGCAAGATTCTTCGTTTTAATTGGTAAATTTCCTGCATCAGCCTGAGATGCTATGTATGGACTCATTCCCAACATATAACTTGCTGTACCACTACTAAAAGCAATGCCAGAAGAAGCAACGACACACACGTCTGTATAACGATATTCTCCTGCCTAGTAAAAGGCTGTTTCAACGTAATTTGTTTGTGCCACGGGGGAACATATTCGTCTTCGAATGCATTCTCCCCTGCTGCTACAACTCCCAATTCTGGATCAACACTATCTCCAGTATTTGTTACCATTATATTTGATTGAACGAACGAATGAAAGTGTGGTGAGTATGATTATAGGTTGATGTTACGTCTAAGACATGAAAATGTAAATGGAATGGGAAAATGTAAGAAAAACTTACCAAAATAAACTATTTTCCTAAATTAGCAAAGGTCTTTTTTGTAGAATATATGTGATCTTACAAATATGATATAGATTCTTATTTGACATGGAATGGGAAAAACACAATTACACCTAGTCTAACAATTTAATTTTAGTTGTCCACGTTACTATAAATAATTGTACTAAATTATTTGTCAATTTAGAAAATCAAAATATTTACAATTAATTATGTTATATCCATGTAGTTTTGGATTGGCTTATTTTGAGTGTTTCTAAGCTAAAACCCGAGTATCTGGATAAGTGTAAAGAGTGCTTATAAGCACTTAGAGCCTGTTTGGCTCAGCTTAAAAGCTGGTCAAACTGACTTAAAAGTTGATTTTTGACTTATTTAACTGTTTGGCAATACTTAAAATAGCTTATTTTAAGTTAAAAAAAAATTATTTTAAGCCAAAAGTTAAAAGCTGGAGTAGAGTTACTTTTTTTTTTAGCTTATAAGCTGTTTTAAGTTGACCATATTTTTATGCTTTTTCCGTTAATATTTTTATACAATTTCCAAA